CATGTCAGCACAAAGGAGAGTTATGATGCTCCTGATAGAGGGGCAGAGGTTGCTCCTACTGACACTGCTGACTGTGAGTTGTATGTTGCGGGTCCCCTAGCATTTGGTGACATACGATACGTATTATATCTTTGACATGTATTTGGTACACTGTTAAGCATTTATATAGTCTAAAATATTTTATCATTTGTTTACCTTAGGGAAAATGTATGCATTGGGGTCAACCATCCACCACCAGAGTATTGGACATGATATGATAAGAGTGGTGGTTGTAGATGTCCGGGATGCTGCTGCCCCAATCCCTATTCCCACTGAAGAGGTTCAAACAGTGGGACAGGCACCTGAAAATTTTATCTTATGGCCAGTTTCATTAACAAGACCCATCCCAACACATGCACAGGTTGTGTCATGCATTTATCCCTTTTACTTATTATTTTTTGATAGGTTGATGTATATTAATGTTATTTATTTTTGGTACTTGTATAGAAAGAGGTTGAAAAAGCAAAGGAAGTTGTGCATGAATCACCACCACCACCGACTGCTTTACAGCGACTCGGTGCACTAGCAGCGACTATCGGGACCACTCCCATACAGTTAGATATGCCACCCAAAGTCGTATGCAGGACCAAGACGATCCCTTTTTTCTTACTCCAAAGGGATATTTTTTATCTTCTCGCTGGTACTGATATGCTATGTGTATCAGTGTTGCAGTTTTGGGAATTGTAAGTATATTTACATATTTTTTATATTCTCACTGGTACATTATTTTATAACTTTATTTATTTTCAATGTTGAAGGTATTTACATTGTTTGTGTGTTGAGAGGAAGATTGCCTTTATCTATGGATTTGTTGACCTTGTTGCCATTCAGTCCGTTGGGAATAAAGCTGAAGAGGTGCAAACGTACTTAATAGAGACATTTCAAAATGGGGGCAAAGAAGTCTACTTAGCACCTTACTTGCATTAGTAAGTATACATCTTATAAATTAATGCACATTTATGTAAAACTGAAATTTTACTAATATTATTTCAACGTGCAGGGGTCATTGGCAGCTCATAATCATTGTTCCTCGGCAATTTTTTGTGATTCTCTTGTGTTCAATACACAAGAAACCAAATGATTTGGATATTAGAAAGCACATAGACGCGTAAGTTTGTTTTTTTTAATTGTTGTATCATATGTGCACTTACACCAAAATTATTTGTCCTTTTGTAGAGCTTCGGAAGCTTACCTAAGGTTGCAAGGTCTTCCATCTCATGTTAGAAAGAAGTTGACGTATATTGCACCAAAGGTGACCAAACACCTCTTACTGTTGTTCAATTTGTCATTTAAAGTTAATCTGACATGTATTTAACTTGTAGTGTCCACGCCAATCGGGAAGCCATGAGTGCGGGTATTATGTGATGAAGCACATGCACACCATCATAGCCAAAAATATTATTGACTCATGGAGGGAGGTAAATATACTATAATTAAGTCAAATATGCCAATTATGTAAATGGTTTCTAAATCTGAAATGTTTCAATATGTAGGAATTTACAGACTCATCTCCAATGAAGATTGAAGTGTTAGACGATATTAGAGAGCAGTGGGCTTCTTTCCTTTTAAGTATTCAATCTTCATAGCAAATTTGACTTGTAACAATTTTGATTGAATTGATTTAAGTTAGCAAATTTACATTCGTTTAAGTAAATGAATTGTCTGGAACTGTGGTACATATATTGATTTCAATATGTTTCATATGTACATATCTGTCTGGAACTATATATGAACTGTGCATATCTGTCTGTACAAGTGTTTGGATCTGTGAATATTTATCTGGAACTGTGATGAATAGGTAGGTCTACTCGAAGAAAGGTAGCATCTGTGAAGAAAATGCAGGTACTGTAAAAAAAATAACACTTTCTACGTCGGTTATGTCATTACCCGACGTAGAAAGTACTTTCTACGTCGGTTAATGACATAACCGACGCAGAAAGTTTAACATTTTATGTCAGTTATTAGCATTACCGACATTGATAACACATACAATCACGGTTACTGTTAACCGATATAGATACTGGGGTTATAGAAAGTTAGAAAGTAAGACTTTCTATGTCGGTTATCAGTGTTAACCGACATAGAAAGTAATATGACAGGTCAGAATCAGTTATGATCGATCAGAATAGCTCTATGATCGATCAGAACCAGTTATGACCGATCAGAATAGCTCATAGAAAGTAAGTCTTTCTACGTCGGTTCCCTGACTAACCGACGTAGAAAGTTTAACATTTTATGTCGGTTATAAGCATAACCGACATTGATAACACATACAATCACGGTTACTGTTAACCGATATAGATACTGGGGTTATAGAAAGTTAGAAAGTAAGACTTTCTATGTCGGTTATCAGTGTTAACCGACATAGAAAGTAATATGACAGGTCAGAATCAGTTATGATCGATCAGAATAGCTCTATGACCGATCAGAACCAGTTATGACCGATCAGAATAGCTCATAGAAAGTAAGTCTTTCTACGTCGGTTCCCTGACTAACCGACGTAGAAAGTCTTACTTTCTACGTCGGTTATTAGGAACCGACGTAGAAAGACTTACTTTCTATGACCCCGTATCTATGTCGCCGCTTTAACCGACGTAGAAAGCCCATTTTAACCGACATAAAAAGCCTTTTGTGCAGTAGTGTCTATTTCTCACACTATATATTAACAACAACCTTCACCGCATCCATTCATCTCCAGCTCATCAATACTCTCCATAAACACATCAAGCTAGACACTTCACAAACACACAAAAAAATCTATATTAGCATCATCTACTTTGTAACTGTTCAGGAGTCAAAAATGAGTTCTACAAGTCGTGCTTGGACTTGGACCGTTGCAGCAAGTGTTGGAGTTGTGGAGGCCTTGAAGGACCAGGGCATATGCAGGTGGAACAGTGTGTTGAGATCAGCACAGCAACATGCTAAACATAATATGAGGTCTTTGTCTCACACCAAGAAGCTTTCTTCTCAATCATCTACCATGGCTTCTGCAAAATTCAAAGATGAGAAAACTAAGCAGTCAGAGGAGTCTTTGAGAACAGTCATGTACCTGAGTTGCTGGGGTCCCAACTAAACAAAGATCCATGTTGAGATTTTTTGCAATTCTCGATTTCTCTTTTTCTAGAATGTGATAATTGAGAGAATATGAGAAATGAAAGAGCCAGAAGGCGCACCAATCAGAGAATGTCTCAAATCTCAATTAACATGTTACATGGATGTTTTTTATTGTATTCAACCGAATCAGAAGCTTAATGACTTGAGAAATAGTCTGAAGCATGCATTTTGCTTCCTTGGAGAGACATGGGTTGGATTTGGACGAGTGATTGACATTGAAACATCATTCGAACGATGAACTCTGAGACAGAAATTGTTATTTGTATAGGAGTTTAAAATGATGAGACAGAAATTACTCTGAAACATCACACTTGGAGTACATGTATGCCGAATAATTTGTAACATGTAAAAGCTAAGCAATTATCGAGAAATTACTTCTTTTCTCTGAATTTTTACTGTGTCATTTTTTCGTGGCATCTCCACCTTGTTATGAAAATAAACTCAAGGAACTTGCTATTCGATTATTACTTGGTACTCTTGGAATCATTTTTCAAAAGTAGTCTTCTATGGCTTCTTTTAAATTTTTTTTTCTGGGCCTTTTTCTTCTGAGACTGTCTTTACAGATTGGTGGCAAGATCAACTGGTGCAGGTCCAACTTTTTTCATCAATTTTATTGTTAAAGTTTTGACCATGATGTATCCAGAGCACAACTAAAAATATGATTAATACACATATAGAAAGAGATAACTATAATTATAATTACAATCCTTACTTTCGAACTGAAGCATAAGGAATTTAGAAGAAGTGATTATTACCCAAGAGGTGAGGAAGACATTTCAACATAATTGGTGTTGTTTTCCCATGTTTATTTTACAAAAAGAAATTGAATAGTAAGTTGAGAGTAGCGAAACAAAGTTTTAGCCACATCTCAATTTGATTTTGAAAAATCCAATTTTGAAGCTTTTACAGTATGAAAAATCCAATATTGATTAAGAAAATACGATGACAATGAAAATATTATAAAAGAAAAATAAAAAAATACATTTAATGACGGGATACAATGGTTTTCAATAAATATAATACATTTAACGTATTCCCTTAAATTAAAAAAAAAAAACTCAAGAATGTAGAATGCAGTTCATCGTCATAATAATTATTCATATTGTTAAATTTTATGTTCTTATAATATATTAATATTTTATTTTTCAATCTAATAATATTTTTTTAATAATTTAGTTTATTTAAAAATTATTTAATTTTATTGATATCTAAATATCTAAAAATTATTTATTTTTTCATTATAAATATTAAAATAAAACTTTTTATAATTAAAATTTTCAATTAATTGATAAATTTACCCATTTTAGAAAAATTGAGAGAATTTTGGTAAATTTACCTAAATCTACATATATTAGGATCATGTCTCATCGTTGCTGTGCTCACTTTTTTCTTATCCATAATTTGACTCATTTTTTTGAAGTTGGAAAATTAATTAATTTAAAAATATAAGGACAAATACAGATTAATATATATATATATATATATATATATATATATATATATATATATAATATTTCTTTTCTTTGTTTTATTATCCGTGGGCCTGTGTGGCAGTAAAGTGGTCCAAGGTTTGGTGAATGTCCTTATCCATCCCACAATGCTGCCACATATTTAATTCTTATGTTCTCCGAAACCGCTTAGATTCAGCCTTTGGTTTCACAAAGCCAGATTCGTTCTTGTTCCCAGTTTTACTCACCAACCACGACCACACGGTACCTAGGAATATACATTTCTCCTCCTTTCTATAAATAAGAGTTACCATCTTTATTTTATCGCCATCAACCAAAAGCACTTCTAAAACAAAGTTACATCTTAATAATTGTGATCATCATCATCATCATCACGCGATGAGTAGGGCAACGAGCAAGGCTTGGATTGCGGCTGCTAGTGTCGGAGCCGTGGAGGCTTTGAAGGACCAGTTGGGTGTGTGCAGGTGGAATCATGGTTTGAGGTGTGTTCAGCAGCATATGAAAAACCATGTCAGGTCCTTCTCTCAAGCAAAGAATGTTTCTTCTTCATCTGCAGTTGCTGCAAGCAAGCTAAAGGGTGAGAAGGCCAAGCAAGCTGAAGAGTCCTTCAGGACTGTCATGTACTTAAGCTGCTGGGGTCCCAATTGATCTAAAAACCACAGCATGCAGAGACAATTTTTTTAAATGTCACTGCCATTTGAAAAAACAAATATTGCTTTATGTAAATGAAGAGTATCGATGATGGATTGTTATGCTATCAATTACTCATATTCAATAATGAGATTGAGAGTGTCTGGTGTTTTGTATATCACTTTGTGTTTGATGAAAGGTTTTAACATTTTAAAGGTATTCATAGAAGCACTTCAAAATTACATATCCATGATATTTTCACATTAGTTGAGAAATTTCAACTAAGTCTATATAACTCAAATTATCTTTTATTTATGTTTGAAAAAAAAAAAAAGACACTAAACATCTATTTACATATCGAAATTGTTTGAGTAAAAATTGCACAATATTGGTTCAAATTACTTGTTACTTAGGTCATAATAATGGGATTCAACTAAATCGCTTGTTGATACATATTTACTAAAAAAAATGAAACCATAAAACATTAAAAGGAAAAAAATAATATTAATAATAAGGGATACTTCTAGCAAATAAATATATAAAATTAAATTCTAAATAAATAATCAATTTTATTTTGTAGCACAATAATATTCTTTTTTAGCAATTGAAATAGCAAAACAAAAACAAAATAATATCATACAAATTTTTAATATTAGAAAATTAAAAAAAAAAAGAGTGCAGAAGTTAGAAAACTATTTTATAAAAGATAAAAAATAATAAAAGATGAAAATAAAAATTATCCAAATTAAATTACAATTTAACAAGAAACATCAGCAAAGAAAAATAACATAAAAATATTTGAATTTGTAATTTGTTAATCATTGTGTCATTTGAACTTTAGTGTCAGTGATAGACTGAAAATTGAAAAGCATTAAAAAAAATGTCTCAAAATTTGTTATTAATTACTAATAAAACTCGTTTTAGAAAAAATATTCAAATCATTCTAATTATAACATCCATATTAATCAAGATATATAATTAAAATTTCTCCTAATTATATAATTAAAAATAATATTTAAACAGAAAATAAAAATAAATATGTTATTAATACGTGAAATTTATATGATAATATTTTGGTAGCAGATGCCTAGGCCATGTTTGGATTATTTAATTAATGTGTTGAAATAAGTAACAAGACAAACGGATTCATTCTGTTCCCAGAAACCAGGGTTGGTTTTACGAAAGATGTAAACCAGGTGCTTTTGTACGTTGTCTCTTTCTCAAGCCAGAATCTCCACGTGTAACCTAATCCTCACTCTGCAATGCAATGGCACGTGTATCACATAGACAAGTGGCTCTGAAAACTGCAACAGAACACTGAGCAATTAAAAACCATTACTTTATTTAAAAAATGGCATCTTTTTCAGTCACCGACTTCTGCATTCCTATATATGAGTACCCTTCACTCCAATATTTCATCAAGCTAAAACTTCTGCGAGTATTGTTCTGATACATACTGAGTTACACTACTGTTAACTTCAGGTTCTCAAGAATATTGAGAGGATCACTGTAAGATCTACTTCATTAGAAATGAGTGCACCCAAAAGAACTTGGACTGTGGCTGTTACTGTTGGAGTTGTGGAGACTTTGAAGGACCAGGGTCTCTGCAGATGGAATTCTGGTTTCAAGTCAGCTCAGCAAAGCGTGAAAAGCCATGTTAGATCGTTGTCACAGGCAAAGAAACTTTCTTCTGCATCTTCAGCTATGGTTTCTGGCAGAATGCATGAAGAGAAGGCTGAAGAATCCTTGAGGAGTGTCATGTACTTGAGTTGCTGGGGTCCCAACTGAAGAAAGAGAAAGACAATCTTTTCTTTGAATGTACACCATGAAGAAATTGTGCCACGATCGAGAAGGAGATTTCTCTTGCCATGTTTGGCTTGTATTCATCAATATGTATATTATTATTGTTATTTGTTCATTGTGACAGGTTTATGTAATCACGATGAATGTCAATTGAGTGAAATTTCAACAACCTTGATAGTTTCCCTTTTCAGATTTACTCTTCTTATTTTTTTAATCATTTTCCCAATCTTACCAGTAGCATTATTTAAAAGGAGAGACAACCCAATTAATAATTTGTAACTCTTTTAATTGAAGAGAAAGAAAGCTCATTTAGTATTCATGCACGAACCATATATGATTCTGCGACAATATATATTTTATTGAATCGGTGACGATATAAAATTCTTTCTCAAAGCTAAAATATTATAGCTATTTCTATTATATTACTTTTATTAACTTATCAAATTTTTTTACACAGATTATTATATTGAACAAAACTATTATACAACTAAAATTTCTCAGGTGAACAATATGAAATTACAAAAATCTATTTGATTTGTAAGAATTGCCAGTGTTATATGTAAAGATCTCATTTTTATTTTACTCGGTGCTACTAAGTAATGCAGGCATAAAGGGTTTTTTTACAAAAAATAGATTTAACTTTTCAGTCTTATACCATGTTAAAAAATTAATAATAATAATAATAATAATCCTGATTTTGATTCTAACTATCAAACATAAACATAATCTCATACTATAATCTCATACTGATAAACATGTTGTAAACTGAATACGAAAGCGTACCTGAATTAGCTATAACGATGATGTCTTTGTAGAGCAATTAGCCATAACGATGATGTCTTTGTAGAGCACTATATTGATTTTATGGTCTTCCACCTGAAGAGCACCTGTATTTCCCTTTTGATTTTCTCTCTTGATGAGGATAAAAAGAAAGGAACGGGACTGATACTTATGTTCTGTGTGTGTGCTCCCAGAAGGGGACCACGACCCCTTAAAATAACTAGAATTAGGTTAATTACTTAAGTTTTAGTATTTTTGGCCCTTCATCAAATTAGAAATTTCTCAATGGTCTCTACACAATTTTATTTTCATGACATATGTCTTTAGTCAAAACTTTAATTTAGTCAGATCACTTTATTATTTGGCTTAATAAATAATGACCCTAACACATTTAAATTATGTATCATATATATATATTACCCAAATTTTGCCAACAATCTTCCACTGGTCACAAATATATATGTCCTTACAACCTTACAAATGTGTTAGACTTTATGAGCTAAAAATGTCATTATATTCCTTTAGCATATTCCAAAAGTCTTGTCCATTAATCATATCAGGATATAGAACCAAATCAGCTTTTCATTGCATCATCGCAACTAAAACCAACAATGATTACTCATCCTAATATAACCAAATGACATGGATTCATCATGAAATATGTAGCATGAAAAATTACGTGAAGGTGATCTGTACACGTCTATTTTCAACTGGTCCAAACTTTAACTTATCGAGATCAATATAATATTCTTAATGTACAAAGTGTAATGAATGAATGAAAAAACCGCATATCTATAGATAACAAAATATGTCCAAAAATCAATGTATACATATATGAAATTAAACATAAAACATAAAATATATGAAAGTGACTAACTCCCACTAAACCACAAATTCCTCAAACTGTAAAACACCCATGTGAGCAACATGTTCATGAAAGACCTTGGGCGGAAGTCCTTTAGTTAGAGGATATGCTATCATGGAATTTGTCCTTAAGTGTTCTATGAAAATCTGTCCACTTTGTACTCTTTCCTTAACAATACAGCTGATTTATTGTCACAATATAACTTAAGTAGTCTTTCAATGCCTTTCACAATTTGCAGCCCTGTGATAAAATTTCTCAGTCATATTCCATGATTTGATGTCTCATAGCATGTTACAAATTCTTGACATCCTACAAAATCTGAGTCAGAAAACCCAGTGATCTCCAACTGGTCTGACCTCCTATATGTGAGCATATAATCTTTTGTTCTCTTTAAATATCTTATGACTCTTTTTGTTGCTTTTCAATGGTCTATTCCTGGATTGCTTAAATATCTGCCTAGAACCCCAACTATATATGCTATGTCTGGATGCGTACATACTTGGGCATAGATCAAACTCCCTACAACTGATGCATAGGGAATCTTTGCATTTCCTCAATTTCCAAATTTCCTTTGGGCACTGATTGAGACTAAACTTGTGATACATACAATCATCAATAATATTCATCTTGAAGCCAAATGAGTTTCATACCTTCTGGTAATGGGACAAGTTCCCAATAACCTTATTGTCTTGCATGGACTTATATTTATCCTATTGCTTCAATCCACTTTTGAGAGTTAGAACCTTGTATAGTTTGACGGAAGTTAACTGGGTCATCTTCCATTATATCATTATTTTCCTCATGTTCATGAAGAAATACCATGTAATCATCCGAAATAGCATTTCTTCTTTCTCTAGTGGATCTCTGCAAAGTTATTAGCTCATGATGCATAGGTTCTTGAGGATCTTGAGTTTGTTCTTCTTGAACAACCAAATCATCTTGAGTAAGGGGTTCATCAACAATGCCTTGTGGAGGTTCCGAACTTACTTTATCAAAAGTAACTATTTGAATCGGTTCTGAAATTGTTACCGATTCTTCCTCCAAGATGAAGTTCTTAATCTTATTCTTCTCTCCAAACTCAATATCCTCAAAGAACGTAGCAGTTCCCGTCTCAAAAATTGTCTTTAATGTGGGATCATAAAATTTATATCCCCTGGATCTTTCAGCATAACCAATAAAATAACTACTTACTGTTCGGGAGTCCAATTTATTTTCATTTGGCTTATAAGACCTTGCCTCAGCTGGACAACCCCACACATGGAAATGCTTCAGACTAGGTTGTCGCCCAATCCAAAGCTCATAAGGTGTTTTTGTAGCTGCTTTAGTTGGTACTCTGTTTAGAATATAAGCTGTCGTATTTAGTGTTTCTCCCCAAAGTGATTCCAGTAAGGTGGAATGACAAATCATACTCTCTACCATATCTTTAAGAGTGTAACACAAGCTCAAATGTTACGATTTGATTGTGACCTGAGCACTTGTGCCATAATGCACCTGAATGAGTATTTTCAATTTTACGTTTAGTACCACGTGATTTTGTATTAAGGGTTTCATTATAGGTGGCCACAATATCAAGTAAATACTGATTATCATAAATCAAAAGTGAACCAGTTCCAACAATATCTGAATTAAAAGACAAACTGAACTTATTGTTTCCAAATGAACACAAATAACATAATTTGTCCAAATAAGAAACTGAAACCAAATTCCGTCAAAATGACAGCACAACAAAAGTGTCTTTCAAATCCAAATAAAAAACCAGTACTCAATAATAATTTAAAATGTCCTATAGCTTCCATCTCTACCGATTTGTCATCTCCAACATAAATCCATCTTTCAGAATCAATTGGCTTCCAGTAGTTTAGGCAACCCTTTCTTTTCATGCCAAGCATGATATTTATCACATTTCTTCTTTATGTGTCCAGTCTTATTGCAAAAGAAACATTTGTTTTCTTGAGTTTGTTTCTTTTGTTCTGGACCCTTAGCAACTTCTTTCTCGAGATCCTCTGATCTCTTTCTTTTGCCCTTAGCCTTGGAGGTGCTTGTAAAATGAGCAATTTCTGTCTTGTCTTACTTTAGTCTTTCCTCTTCTTATACGTAATGTGAAATGAGCTCATTAAGAGACCATTTATCCTTCTGACAGTTGTAAGATACCTTAAATTGATTAAACGTTGCAGGAAGAGAAATCAACACCAAATGAATGAGCAAGTCTTCTGAGAGTTCAAACTTTAGTGCCTTGAGTTTAAAAACAATATTAGACATGCTCATAATGTACTCCCTGATATTTCCTTTGCCTTGATATTTCATGGAGATCAAGTTCTGAAGAAGAGTGTTTGCCTCCGCCTTATCGCTTTTTGCAAAGTGCTGCTCAATTTCAGCAAGAAATTCTTTGGCACTTGTGATGTTTTTAAAAACAGTGCCCCTAAACACCTCCGGGATGTCGCGCTTAATGATCATTAGACTCATGCGATTTGAGCGATCCCACTTCTCATAATCTCTTTTCTGTTCAGAGGTACTTGAATCCGTAGGAGTAGGGGGTTGCTTAGTCCTTAACGCAAGATCCATATCCATGCAACCAAGAATAATATCAATGTTCTCTTTCCAGTCCTTAAAATTTGTTCCATTGAGGACCGGAACAGAATTTAATTTGGCAGATACAGAAGCAATTGTAGCTGAATTTAGAACACGAGAAATAAACTAATTATGTTCACATTATATAAAAAATAAATAATATATATTCAAATAGTGGTTTAACCCATCTCAAGATACCCAATGCACCATCAATATCAAGTCTTTGGACAATAATATTAACTGCTAGAGGTATCTTGTTGTAATAATCAAACATTGACAATAAAGCACGTCCAACAACAAACCAGTCTTTGGATTGATTTATCATCGACAAAGCAAATCCTTATAATTATCACATGTTTATCATTACAAGTGTGTATGCAATTCGGTCAAATATTAATCTTCCTTTGGGCCGACTAATACTCACATAAATATACACAAACACTAACATTCAATATTTTTCATGAACTGCCCAATTCAAGAGAAGTTACTTTGGTGACTTCTTGACTCAATTTGCTCACAAAAAATATTAAACTACCAAAAATTGAATATTTTATTTATATAACAAAACCAAATATTTAATATTTGCAAACTAATTCAAAAGAGAATCATCTCATTAGAATTCTACTAAGGATGAACACCTCCCTAAAATCTCATTAGGGATGAACACCTCATTTGAATAAATCAAAGGATGAAAAAAATGCCTCATTTTCCACCAATACATAAAGGATGAACATCTCCCTAAAATCACACTAGGGATGAAACGAGAGATAGTTCTGAGTCTCTTTAGCATACTGCTCTAAACCCTAAAAGGGAATTAAACAATAATCACTCAAACCCTAATTTAACATCAAATTTTTCTAAAGGCAATAAAATAAGAACAGTCACACTTGTGGAAACATTCACCATTTACCTAAGATTCTCTGTGTTGGGAACTCCACAAACACCACCCCCAATTCCAAACCCATAAAATTAAATAAAAACAAAAGATTCAAAAAAGAACAGAGAACCTAATACAAGAAAAATTGAAATTTGAAACACTGTTTCTTTCTCAATAAAACTTGAAACTTAAATTGAAACAAAAGGGAAAAACGAAGAAGAAGAAGAATCCATAGCTTCCTCCACGGTTCCATCAACAAGTAGAATCAGATTGGGGATGTTACACCCAAATTTAAATTTTAAGGTTCACGAAAATTAGAGATTATTCTCCACTTAGGGTTCATAAAATTGGGTAATTTGAATTGTTTAAAACAAAATTAATCCTAATTTTCATAATTAGGGTTTTATAAATTAAATAGACATGAATCAAATATGGGCGACTCTGATACCAATTGTTGGAAAATTAATAATAATAATAATCCTGATTTTGATTCTAACGATCAAACATAAACATAATCTCATACTGATAAACATGTTGTAAACTGAATGCGAAAGCATACCTGAATTAGCCATAACGATGATGTCTTTGTAGAGCACTATATTGATCTTATGGTCTTCCACCTGAAGAATACTTGTATTTCCCTCTTGATTTTCTCTCTTGATGGGGATAGAAAGAAAGGAACGAGACTGATACTTACGTTCTGTGTGTGTGCTCCCAGAAGGGGACCACGACCCCTTAAAATAACCAGAATTAGGTTAATTACTTAAGTTTTAGTATTTCCAATTTGGCCCCTCATCAAATTAGAAATTGCTCAATGGTCTCTACACAATTTTATTTTCATGACATATGCCTTTAGCCAAAACTTTAATTTAGTCAGATCACTTTATTATTTGGCTTAATAAATAATGATCCTAACACATTTAAATTATGTATCGTATATATACATGACCCAAATTTTGCCAACAATCTCCCACTGGTCACAAATATATATGTTCTTACAACCTTACAAATGTGTTAGACTTTATGAGCTCAAAATGTCATTATATTCCTTTAGCATACTCCAAAAGTCCTGTCCATTAATCATATCAGGATATAGAACCAAACCAGCTTTTCATTGCATCATCGCAACTAAAACCAACAATGATTACTCATCCTAACATAACCAAATGACATGGATTCATCATGAAATGTGTAGCATGAAAAATTACGTGAAGGTGATCTGTACACATCTATTTTCAACTGGTCCAAATTTTAACTTATCGAGATCAATATAATATCCTTAATGTACAAAGTGTATATGAATGAATGAAAAAACCGCATATCTATAGATAACCAAATATGTCCAAAAATCAATGTATACATATATGAAATTAAACATAGAACATAAAATATATAAAAGTGACTAACTCCCACTAAACCACAAATTCCCCAAACTGTAAAACACCCATGTGAGCAACATGCTCATGAAAGACCTTGGACGGAAGTCCTTTAGTTAGATGATATGCTATCATGGAGTTTATCTTTAAGTGTTCTATGAAAATTTGTCCACTTTGTACTCTTTCCTTAACAATACAAGTTGATTTATTGTCACAATATAACTTAAGTAGTCTTTCAATATCTTTTTTTATTATTATTATTGCAGCGTGTTCCGAATATCAAATGGTTTCAATTTATAAAATATATATTAAAAATTAATAAATTATACAAAATCTAAGTGATTTTAAATACTTTTTCATAAAATTAATTGTCAATGCATTCTTTTTAAAATAATTTTATAATTACAACAAATACAAATTACCTTGTTTCTAATTAAAAAAATTCAATAAATTATTCTATATAAAAAAGGATTAAAACTGTTTTATTATAGATTTTAAATTTATATCTAATTAAAACCTGTAAAACTCACTTATAAAATGAAAATTATGTGGAAATGAGACTTGAATTTTTCCTAACACTAATGAACTTTATGCATAAATAATATGGCTTTTATTTAAGGCAATAATTTTGATTATATTTTTATTTAATATAAAACTTTTAATATACGATGAAAATTAAATTGAGTGTTATATTTTTTGTAATAAAAATATATTCAAATTTAATTTGTCTTAAAAAATGATGTCATGTTACATAGATGTGAAATGTTGAAAAGAAGTGGCAAATGATTGCTGAGAGTGCAGAATGAATCAGACCAACTGTAAAGCGCGGGAATCCATGGCATCAGCAAACCGGACCTCAAACACACAAATCAAATGCTCAAAATTGGCAAGATTGAGTCCGAACCCCAATTGGTCATTCCATTCCATCACAGTAAAATTCATGCCCCCATCTCTGGTACCAGATTGTCTCGCTCGTAAAGGTACTTTTACCAGTACGCGGTAATCACACGTTCTCGACAAAACAAGAAAAAAGGTTGCAAATCAAACACAGCAAAACTCACCCGAATGTAGCATTCAAAGCCTTGGCCTTTTCTTGGACAGACTGAAAACTTTCAGTGCTTCTAGCAACAGACACACCTCACGTAGTATTTCTGCCAGAACTGCCAAATCTAACTTCATGCCCCTCACTCACTGAACCGAAAGCTTGAAACTTTGCGGACATTTCTCAGACCCAGTTGCCGGAAGTGGCGGTTCCCGGTGGGTTGGTGGGAATGGAGGTGGAGAGTGAAAAGTCAGGGTCTGATGGGAAGGTTTGGAGATTTTGTAAAATGCCATTTTGGCAAACAACTCATATTCCTTCTTTTTCTTCATCTTCTTCATCTTCCGTTTCTTACAACATGCACAATGTGCATCAACAAAATCAGAATACTCTTCAATCTGTTGATAGATCCGGTCAGCATTATTCAACAACAGTCTCGTCTGTGGCAAAGTCTCTTCTCCCTAGAAAGAGGAGGCTCCGTCTTGATCCAACCAACAAGCTCTACTTTCCCTGTAGGTGTATCTTGAAACTTGTTTTTGGTCATGGGACTTTTTTGGGAGGATTATTATAATAATCCTTCTGATATATCTTTCCAATATTTTATAAAGTATCAAATGAGAAAGGAAATATATTTAATATCTTGGACACATAAAAAACTGTATTATACTTACCACAGAAAGGAAGCTGAGGATTTATATATAAGAAGATTTAGAAGTATTCTTTTGTGCGTTCGCGTGTGTGTGTGTTGAATTTCTTCTGAAATTAATGGTTTGTTTTGATTGCTTGATCTGGATATCTTTGTTTTCATTCTATAGCCTTGTGAATGGACTGCTCTATGCATAGTTATCATGCCTAACGTTTACATTTGTGCATTCTGTTTTTATTTTTATTTACCTTGCTTTATGTTTTGCTACATTTTAAGATGAGCTATTTTTTAATAGGTGGAATCAAGAAGATGATTTAATTGATTTGTTTGTAGTGGATGTTATCCTTGCTGATTCCTTGTGGCTTAATTTTGATTTTGAAGATGAACCTGGTAAGCAAGTTAGGAGTGCAATCGCAATTAAAAACACTTGCAAGTCTCATGTAGCTTTTAAGGTGTGGTTTCTGATTTTCTCTAACCGTCATTTTTTGTTCAGAAATTATGTATTACACAACATTATCATCATGTTACTCCGTATAATAAATTGGCGAATAACTCTGTCATTCATGATATTCGACATCAGATATAGGAAAATATAAGTTTTGGTCTCTACACATGCAGAGACGTTGTTTTGGTAAATTACTATATAGTAACTAGGTGATAGGAAATGCAATATGTTGATCATGACCATCTTCATATTGGGTTTCATCGCATATATCTATAGGATGATATAGACACTGATACTTTTGTACACTGCCTTTTTCTTTTGTTTCCTATGTCTATCCACTTTTTAGATTACTACTAATGGTGATATTTTCTTTTTTCTTAGTTTCAAACAACAGCACCCAAGAGTTGTTATATGCGTCCTCCAGGTGGTATTCTAGCCCCTGGTGAAAGTATAGTTGCCACTGGTAATTTGTGCTATTAAACTCATGTTAAGTAACATGCCCAAATGCTTAGAAATTGATGGTTCCTCTTGCAACTGTCTTTGTTTTGCAGTATTCAAGTTTGTGGAGCCACCGGAGAACAATGAAAAACCACTTGATCAGAAAAGCAAGGTTAAGTTCAAAATCATGAGCCTAAAAGTGCAAGGTGAAATTGACTATGTACCGGAACTGGTAATTTACTAGTGTTCCTTTTGAGGATAAATCTACCATCATCATCATCATCATTATCTTAATTTTCATTTATATCTTAGCTTGTTTATATAAGGATAAGTTGAAACCTTCTTTCTGTTCGTTAGCCAATTAAAGTGTTCTTGATGGTGTATATGTCTTAAAATCAGTTTTTTTGTGTGTGTGTGTGTGTTAAAAACCTGAAGATGTTAGGTTAACCAAAGATGTTGTTCAAGAAAATTGTATTCCCTGTGAGTACTGTTGAATTTCTTTTGATAATTTTTGCTTATAAATCTTCAAAGATTCTTCATTTTGTACAAATGGGAATTTGGTATGTGTTGGTTGTTGGAAATAAAGGAGGTTCTGGAACCTTTGTGCATATCCATGACCTGTCTTGCTTTCTTTCTGGAGAATGTGGGTGTAGCTTATTATTTGCTGTCTCCACATCTAAGATACTTTCGTGAGGCATGAACGGTATTGTTACATGTGTCACATTCTAGTATACATATGCCTGAACATTACTGATTCTTTTCACACAAGTAATGTCGGAACTGAATTTTTTATGAACTGCCTTCTCCAGTAAGTCACTCTTGGTGCATTTTATTTAAGGTCAGTACTTAAGGTTTTGAAAGTAAAATATTTTGTGAAAACACATTTTGTTACTAGCATTGCAACTTTTGATATGTTGTACACAACCTACTTACATTGTAATTGTCAACTTAAAGGTAAATACATTTCAAAAAGCCTCAAGCTGATTGCAAGTCTTAACAAAATCATTTTTCATAATTCATCTTTGACAGGTGTAACTTGCAACGCATTGACAAATAAGCCAAGTCTATTATGTTTCAAATATGTTACATTGAACATTTACAATTTCTTGAACAAACAGAGGATGCATTCAGTACCCAGAGAAAATTGGAATTTAACATGTAAATGTCACATAATTTTTCCTACAGTTTGATGAGCAAAGAGAGCAAGTGGCAACAGAGCAAATTCTGCGGGTTATTTTTGTGGACCTTGAGAGGCCTAGTCCTGTAAGACTACATATCTCAAACATGACATATGACCTCAACCATTTTATTATTTGCAGTTATAATTGAAAGATGTTGTTTCTATAAGGTACTGGATAAGCTCAAACGGATGTTGGCTGAGGCTGATGCTGTAGTTGAAGTGCGAAGAAAACCGCCGGAGGAGAAAGGTACCGGAGTTGCTGGGGAAGGTCTTGTTATAGATGAATGGGTTAGACACTCTTCTTGCCACATTCTTTTGTTTCAGTAAATAATATATACACACTTCCAGTATAAAGATTTCATTTTTTCTTACTATCATCCACTAACAAATTATCATATATGATAAGTTTGTTGACTTTTAAAATGACTATTTCAAAAGTCATATCTACCATGGCTTTTGATTATTTGAGAATGTAAAATTGTTTATACTAATAATGCATAAATATTAACTCTTTATTTATATTGAATGTTATCCTTTCATTCTTCTCTTATTCTGCACCCTTTCTCCTTGTGTAGAAAGAAAGAAGAGAAAAATACTTGGCCCAACAGCAAGTCCAAGGTGTTGATTCAGTGTAAAGTGTTTCTTTCCTCCTTTTCTTGGGTCAAGCTCTTAATTGTATGCTCTGAAATTGAATTCCAGACTCACTGATCTTGTCTCTCATAAGTGGCTGAGTCACCTAGAAAATTGCTATGAAGCAAATAATGAAATCCTTTCTTTTTCTTTTTCAATAATGCTTGTGATGTTGTTATATGCGAGTGAATACTTAATTGTACTTTTACATCATCATCTATAATCTGTATATAGCTGGTTTGTTTTAGAAGTATGTGGAGTATTCGGTCTTTAGCATGTTTCTTTCTCGTCAATAAAATAGTATTGACATCGATAAGCCATTAGTTGTTTATATTTATTAATCAGGTGAGAGAGTAAACAAAGTTGGTAGCATTCATGGCGGCTATAACTTATAAGATTATAATCTCCTTATTCTTTGTTTATTAGTTGGTCTAAAATAGTAAGGCTTCTTTTAAGCAATATATACAAAGCTTCATCAGTTGGAGATCAAATGAATTAAGAGATCTTATACTTCTTTTTTATTAAACAAAGAGGCTAGTGGTTTCAAGCAGTCAGGAAAATTAAACAATAAATAATTAGTTTGCAAGTCACTCTCTTTGTATATCTTTTTTAAGGGCATGTCACTATATTAGTTGGGGACAGTGGAAGACGCATTTGAAATGATCTTCTATTTCTCCTTTGATTTGTTATACTTTTTTGGTACATGATCTGATTATTCTAATATTGCAACATTCCAGAAATAGAAATGCTTGGCTTTTATCAGAATGTTTGCCTTTGCCTTTGAATCCAAACGGATCCACTAAAGCAGCTTCTGCATATTGTAGATTTTATGTATGGTGATAGAGTTATATGATTCACAGTTATTAATTATTTTTCAAACACACATCATCATCACTGTTAATCAATGTATATAAACCTTTATCACTTTGAGATTGAGTCAAGTCAGGGATTCTACAATCTTTTGTTTTTGTGAAAAGAATGAGTCAGGATATCAATAATTAGCTATCAGTCACTGTCATTTTATATATGTATATACTCAGGGTGTGTCATTATATATCTTTAATATAGTATTAAGATGTTGATTTAACATATAATGTAGTCGCTCAAGATCCACAAAACAAGTGGGTAGGTCCACACTTAATAAAAGAGCATATCTCCTTTTTGTAAAGTGCAATATTTTAAGTGTCTATTATCAGAGCATATCATGAGGTTAAACTGGGGTTACCATTATTGCTGATTGTGTAGCAGCTATGCCATGTAAAGCAGAGAGTATTAGATGTTATAAAAGATTAAAAATTATTGGTGGTGGTGTTATTAAGCAACTTAGAATGTTAATTGCTTTTGTTGAATACCGTGGAAAAAAAATATTATTGAGATGAGAAGTTCTTGTTTATGACAATCAATATTGGCAAGTAGATTGATACTCCTCAACTAACATGATAAAAAAAATCGAGCAAATAATTGAGATTTTTACTCCTATTATGTTGTTAAATGTGAAAATCTATTAATCTAACAAATAAGGTCATAACAATTTTATGAAAATTTGATGTTAAAAATAATATAAATTGTAACAAAGCAAAAGCTGCAGGTTTTGGATTATCGATTGGATTAACGAAATAAAAGACAAGGAATTGATTCGTTCTCAAATCATAAATAATGTAGGTTGAAATGCATTGCAAAAGAAATAGGTCATGTTCATCCTCTACAAAGCAAAACAACGTGCTTTCCTACAATTCTAGTGGCTTCATACACAGATTTTGGACCAAAAAAAAAGTGTTATACTAACGTCTTCTCTGCATATGATTGCATTGACTGATAAGTGATTATGGTGACCACCAACTTGCGCTTTATCTCAACGTGTTCATCCAAGTACAAACGAAACTAGCAACTTTTACAACATTAGGTTGCAAGGTTCATGTTACAACTTCAAAGTTTGGATCCTAAGCTTAAGTTACTTTAAATATTTAGAGAAATAGTTTTATTATTTCTATAATATTCAATTTAGATAGGATTTTTTTAAGTTTTATAAAAAAAATGTTAATTTAACCAAATTCTCTTTATTTAGTTTTTTGTTTGAGAAAAAAACAACAAAACTCTTCTTTCAAACTATAATCCAAGAGTGCTGTAAAGTATAAACGTGTAAAGGTTAAAGGTGCTAAAAGAAGCAGTAAAAAATTGACAAGTATTGGATCATAACTGCACGTGATTCCTGACCTCGGCCCATAACTATTGGATCATCGTACGGTGGGCCCATTATCCGAGAAAGCAAGAAACAAGAACGTGTCACAGCCACAGATGATGGCATAACACGTATACATCGAATGAATAAGAAAAGGGCGAAAAAGAATGGGCCTGGGATGAAAGGACAAAACTGCCCCTGCAGAAAACAACAATTCTTCCTGGACCAGAGTCTCGAAAACGGACAAAGGGTGGGACCCACTAGTGGTGAAAAATTGAAGAGAGAGAGAAAATAAGGATAAAGAAAGAAAGGGACATTAATGTGTTAGAAGAAGAGGTGAGTCATGGGTGACAACTATGTCTCTTTCGGATAAGTCCACCACCTGTTTCCTGGAACCACCACTCTTATCAATCACTAAATACAAAGACTATGTCTCACCATTATATTAAATACAAGCCTTAAACTTAATTAAGGTTTATAAAATAAAAGATTAATTGTAATACTTGTTTAAGGAATGGAGTAGAGTATCACGCAATCTAACTAGTAACTACGTGTATTTTGTGTATTGTAAAATACCAATACTGTTAAAGCAGACTTAAAAATGATACACCAAATCTCTAATACGTATTAATTAGTAATTAAGAAAGATGAATTATGTTTAAGTGGAGAATGGGCCCCACCAGAAATGAGTACTTTACCCAAAATCATATCCCAAGTGGTTCTCGTTTCTTCTATAAATTCCCTCGTTCTCATCTCTTTTATTTCACTACTAACGTTTCTCTGAGCTTTGTTGTGTTGTACGTTGCAAACGGAAGAAGGAAAACATAAAAAATAAAAACGGAGAACAGAAAGATGAGTTATTTGAACCGTGTTTGGATGGCGGCCACGGTGGCGGTGGCCCAGGGTCACACCGATCCCGGCCACAAGTGCAAGACGGCGCTTAACTCCATCCACCAAAACCGCAGCCGCCTCTTCTCTGGCGGAGCCCTGTCGGAGCTGCGCCCTTTGTCCGGTGTTGTGAGATCTGACATGGCTGGCCCCGTGACGGGGAGCTCCGACGTGGAGAATAGGGTGGCGCAAGCCGACGATTCTCTGAGGAAAGTGATGTACTTGAGTTGCTGGGGCCAGGGCTGAGCACGCGTGGCGGTGACAACGGTGGAGATTAAAGTGGTCGCCGGGAGAAGTGACCCTGGCCTTGTTACCGGGTCGGGTTTGGATCTGAGTTGACCTGACCGAGTCAGTGAGATGACTCGGTTGGAGAGAAGAACTTGGAACGATGTGATGTTGTATATAAAATAGTTATGTACAGAAGATAATGGGTTTTTCCCACTTTCGAGTGGATGTGATGATGAGATCTGAATCATTAATAGTGATACCTAAAATTAGACAAACTCTACTTCCTTTCCATTATCATCAACTTTGGGTTTAATTTAACTGTATATCTTTGAATCATAATGATGCCCTTAACCATTATGATTGTTTAAGGCTTAAACTCTCTCAACCTGAAGATTTAAGGATATTAAGGTTTGAATTTTTGTAAAAGGATATTTTTCCGAAGTATATTTGAAAATCAGAGGACAGTGGTTAAGTTGAAGAAAGGTTGATGTAGCAAAATTTGAGCACGCATCTGCTTATAGAATCAAAACAAATTCAAGAACAGCAGATTTTGAGAAATGATTAATGATTGTAAATTGTAGACAACCGTAAGATTTGGGGAAGACGGTATTCTAATTCTCGCATCAATTGAAACAAGATTAATAACTTAATGATGATTGATCAATTGGTATTTTAAGGCTAGGTGCTGGCAGGGTCTGACTGACTTTTTTTATTAAGCTCGATTTTGGTAAAGCGAAAGTGAGTACAAATAAAAGGTGCTTTCGATCTTGTTCTTTAATTAAAATTGACGTTACAAATTAATAATTGGTGTATTAAGGCGACATTGTATTTTACTTGAAGAGTAGTACCAAACTTTTTCATATTTAGCTTGTATTATGTTATGAATGGAAGTTCACTCAATAGATAAAAAATTGAATAAACTTTCGAGTATGCTTTCTAGTCACAAAAATGGATGCAACCGTGTGTTACAGTAGTAAGGTACAGTGTTTACACTTTACAGAGGGGAGTGGGGTAAACTTTTTGGAATCAGAAAATTAGAGAGCCAACAGCATAACAAAAAGGAAACAGAATGTAAATGGAAAAAAAAATAAGGATTCAGACATTCACAACCAAACACACTGCAAGGTACTGGGGCAATCAATGGTCCTGTAGTGACTAGCAATGTTATTCACAGAGAGGAAGCCTTTTACAACTTAAGTAGATGCAGGTAACGAGATATTTCTCTGGTTCTGGTTTCCAGCGCTTGGTTTTATCTCCCATGATAGTAGCACAAGTTGCTCTTCGTCGGGATGGATAAAAGGCAATGAAATCTCACGGATCATCAGGTCGCCACAAAATGGGCATTCACTAGCTATTGCATCATCCAGTTGTGACCGGAGCTGCACATAATTTGACATCAGTACATAAGGTTATTCAGCGTAGTTCAACTGCATCAATGTACAAGCATTTAACACCCCAATGTAAAGTTCACCGAGATGCTAACGCACAAGTGTTTTTTTTTTTTTTTACTTTTTCATGCCTAATGAACTTGGTAAGTATAGATAAGTAGCTTAAAGAATTTCCAGCGGCAGCAAAGTATATGTCAAAGACCTATATGAATTATTACATGCTAATGCAAATTACGATGGATATTTAAAGCTCAAAGTTGACACCAATCACAGCCCATTGAAATAGTAATGGTAGAAGAAGAAAGGGGATTTGAAGCTTAAATTTGAATGCAAGAAAAATGTAATGTTGAGCAATAACACGAGCATGAATGAAAGTTCAGGACAAACCTTGTCTGCGGTGCTCATGTTAGGAATGGACTCTTCTGGAGAAAGGGTGCCATTGGATTCTCTCCTTGTTTCACTGCCCATCAAAGTAAGTTGCTTCTGCAGATCCAGTATATACTCAGCCTGCAACATTTTCCCAGTAGATTTAATCTTAGTAATAAGAATATGCTGGTTTGAGGTGGGGGGCAACATTTTTGACGGCATGCAAACAAGGTCATGACAATTATAACAGAACTAGAGAATGAAATTTATGAATCAACCTCTTTAGGATGTAAAACTGACGATATTGTCAATTATGACCACTGTATTAACCCATATTTAAGGGTTCAAACAGCATTTTTGTGCTACTAACGTATGAAACAATTAAGGAATTTTGTTTATCCCCTCTCAAAACTATCCAATTTTTTTCTATGTTAGACAGCTAAAGATCACAGATCTGATCAGATCACTGTATCCTTTCAGCTTTGTTAGATTGGCACTTCATACACGCATCAGTGTTCGACTAATCTGAAACAATAAACTTTCAGGTAGCATAATGTGAAGTAGTCAGCAATGAAATGAGATGGCAATTATGAGATAAAGGTATTTACCTGGGAATCAACTGTACAACGAGTCACATGGGCAATCAGGCATTGGGCGTGGAAGGCATGTCCACACGGGAAGATATAAAAGGGAGCCATTTGTCCTACTAACGTATAACCACGACCCATGCCGAACTCCCTCCCAGCACTTAGAATTTTTCGACGGCAAACCTAGGGAGTCAGATTAAAATAATTTCAAATGAGGGCATTAGTTCAGCAAACTAAATCAGAAAAACTAAAGCAGATTGATCTTAACATATCAGGAAGAGTGTTGAAGTATTTATTAGATTAAATGTATCTTGTTGGACATTTATGAGATTAGTTGTAGATCTAGTTCCTAGAATGCATCTGTTTATCTTCTCTAGGATTAATCATGTCTCTCTATTAATTGTATCTCTGAATCTGTATTTTTATCTCCTATAAATAAGAGAACACAAGAAGATGATTTCAGGCTCTCAAAATCAAAATCAGTTCTTTATTTTCTTTTTTCTATTTCAAGTTGGTATCAGAGCGGGTTCATCCCGCTCTGCCTGTCTCTGTTTTTTTCTGGCATTAATCGCCGTTCACCGCCGTCCGCCGCCGTCCGCCGCCGGTGTTGTCTTCTCCGGCGCCTTTTTCATCTCTGATACTTGGGTTTGGCTCGCCTCGAGGAGCGTGACCCAACCCCAGTGTTCGCTTCCTCTATCTCTGCCTCACGTGCCGCCACGCGCCACCCTCGTCCGCGACTTCCTCCGCGCGTGGGCCTCACGCGCCGCCCCTCTCGGTGGCTGTTTTGCTCCAGGCCACCTCTATCTGACTCGCCTCGTCGCCCTGGTGTCGGATCTGCACTTTGTTTTGTGTTCTCGGTCACAAAACGTGGTGGGTCTGCATTTTTCTCTCGCCTCTCTCGGTCCTCTCTCGACGGCACGGCTGGTGCCTTCTCGTTTCCTGGAAAATGTCGGGATGCGTATGCGTATCTTTTTCGGGACTCAGACTATAACCACGAGAAAAATTAAATGGGAAAAATTATTTGTCTTGGGCTTCCTCTGTTGAACTCTGGTTTCTAGGTCAAGGAGTTCATGATCATCTAGAAGAAGATGGAAGTACTATACCGACGAGACCAGGCTCCTCAATGGAAGAAAGCTGGATTATCAACTTTGTGCACTATTATGACAATCTGTTGAACCACATATTTTGAGCACTCTTCGAGCCTTCAAGACATGTAATTCTTTTTGGAAAAAGGCTCAAAATATCTTTGCTAACGATATTCAACGACTTTATGATTACGCTAATAGACTAGCCTCCCTTAAGCAAGAGGATAATTCCATGATGTCCTTTGTTCTTTGAAGCTCGGTCAGTTGTTGAAGAATTAAAAATGTTCCTGGAGGCGAGAATCATTAGAAGAAAGGAAGACGAAGGCTGGATAAATTCTATATGGTAATGATTCTTAGGGCTATGAATCCGAGTTTAATCATGTTAGAGACCGATTCTAGCTGGAGAAGAAGTTCCTTCTACGGAGAGTTTAATCACAAGGCTACTTCGTGTTCCTTCTATCAAAAGCAAAAACGAGTCGGGAACTTGCTGATTCTTCCGCCATGATTTACGCTCGTGGAAGAGGTAATCACGGCTCTAGAGGACATGGTGGGAAAGGACGTCCTCGGTGCTCTCATTGCAAAAGAATGGGACATACTAAGGAAAATTGCTTTGCTCTTCACGGCTTTCACGATAAGGCGGCTAATACCTCAAAATGCGAAGTTGATGAGCCCAAGTTCTCTCATGAAGAGTATCAAGAATATTTAAGGATGAAATCAACCAATTTGGCTCAAGCATCTACAACACCAAATTCGTCAACCGCTTGCATTTCTTAATCTGTGGAAAGTCAAAATCCATGGATTATTGACTCGAGTGCTTCGACCACATGTCCGGTAATACCTCTTTATTTTCCTCTCTTTCATTTCCTAAAACATCCCATCTCATATCTTTAGCTAATGGATCTAAAGTAGCCTCTAAAGGAATTGGTCAAGTATCCATCTCTTCTTCTTTAAACCTTCAAAATGTTCTTTGTGTTCCTTCTTTTCCATTCGGTCTTGTTTACGTAAGCCAATTAACCAAATCATTGAATTGCTCGGTAACCTTTAATGCCAATTGTTTTGTTATCCGAGGAACGTGAGTGCGGGTCGATTGATTGGAGAAGGACTTGAATCTGGAGGCTTATACTACCTTAGGACTAAGTCATTTGTATCTTGTGTTGCGTCTTTATCCCAAAGCTGTTACATGAGCGATTAGGGCATCCTCATTTAGCAAATTTGAAAAAAATGGTTCTCGAACTTGAGAACCTTCAAACTCTTGAATGTGAATCCTGTCAACTAGGGAAACATACCAGGTCATCCTTTCCAAATTATTACGAATCTAGATGTGATTACGCTTTTAGTATTGTTCATTCGGATATATGGGGACCTAGTCGTGTTTCATCTTTTGGTTTTAGATATTTTGTTACTTTTATTGATGGGTTTTCTAGATGTACTTGGGTTTATCTTATGAAAGATCGTTACGAATTATTGCCTATCTTTAAGTCTTTCCTTAATGAAATCAAAACTCAATTTGGAAAAGTAATCAAAGTTTTACGAAGTGATAATGCCAAAGAGTACTTTTCTAATGATTTTTCTAATGTCCTAAATTCTCAAGGCATTTTACATCGGTCCACGTGTCCTCACACCACAGCAAAATGGTATAGCAGAACGAAAAAATAGACATTTGGTTGAAGCTGCTCATACCTTATTCTTTGGGTGCCAATATGCCTATTCATCATTGGGGAGATGCTATTCTAAGCTGCATGCTTTCTCATTAATAGAATGTCATCTTCTTCTCTTGATAATAAAGTTCCACACTCTATTCTATTTCCAAAGGAACCAATTTTTCATGTTTCTCCTAGGGTATTTGGATGTATATGTTTTGTTCATGACATGTCTCCTGGCTTAGATAAACTCTTACCTAGAGCTATCAAATGTGTCTTCTTGGGGTATTCTCATCTTCGAAAAGGATATCGGTGTTATTCTCCTGAAACCAAGAGGTACTACATGTCCGCTAATGTCACCTTTTTTGAATCATCATCCTTCTTCCCTTATTCTATGCGGGATATTGATTACTGTCCAAAATGTGTTTCCTGTTCCCTTAGTTGAATCGAGTTGTACCTCCTATTTTCGACCAAAATACTCTAGAATCGGCATCACGGCCTATCATCACCTATCAGCGCGGGAACCAAGTGAACAATCCCATTCCCCAAGATGAGCCATCCATAACGGGTCCTTCACCATCATCCTCTAATACCACGGCTCCCGATAACGATGATTCCGGTTGGCCCATTGCCATTCGCAAAGGTACTCGTTCTACTCGTAATCCTCATCCCATTTACAATTTTCTTAGTTATCATAGATTGTCTCCTTCCTATTGTTCTTTTATTTCCTCTGTCTCCTCTATTACAATTCCCAAAAATGTGGTCGAAGCGCTTGATCATCCTGGATGGCGACAAGCCATGATTTACGAAATGCGAGGCTCTTGATCACGACAAAACTTGGGAGCTTGTTCCTCTCCCTTCGGGAAAGAAAACGAGTTGGTTGTCGTTGGATCTATGCTATTAAAGTTGGGCCCAATGGTCGGGTTGATCGTCTTAAAGCAAGGTTAGTGGCTAAAGGATATTCTCAAATATATGGACTTGATTATTGTGATACTTTTTCTCCGGTAGCCAAAATGACCCTTGTCGCTTTGTTCCTTGCCATGGCCGCCATTCGTCATTGGCCTCTTCATCAATTGGATATTAAAAATGCTTTTTTGCACGGTGACTTAGAAGAAGAAGTTTACATGGAGCAACCTCCTGGATTTGTTGCTCGGGGGAGTACGGTTTGGTTTGTAAATTACGTCGATCCCTCTATGGCCTAAAACAATCTCCACGGGCTTGGTTTGGAAAATTCAGCTCTATTGTTCAAGCTTTTGGATTAAAACGCGGTGAAGCGAGATCATTCGGTGTTTTATTGTCACACTGCCCCTGGCAAACATGTTTATTTAATTGTGTACGTTGATGATATTGTCATCACGGGGAATGATCTTTGCTAAAATATCTCGGTTAAAAGAGCACTTGTGTAGTCATTTTCGAGACCAAGGATCTTGGAAATCTAAAATATTTCTTGGGTATTGAAGTAGCTCAATCAAGAGAAGGTATTGTCATCTCTCAAAGGAAGTATGCTCTAGATATTCTAAAAGAGACAGGTATGATTGATTGCAAACCTGTGGACGAGTCCTATGGATCCAAATTTGAAGTTAATGGCGGGACGGGGTGAAGTTTTCTCGACCCGAGAAAGATATAGAAGAGCTGGTTGGGAAACTTATTTATTTGACGATTACTAGACATGATTTGTCTTTTGCGGTTGGTGTTGTCGGCCAATTTATGCAAGCTCCTTGTGTGGATCATTGGAATGCTATCATTCGAATCTTAAGATACATTAAAAAAGCTCCGAGGACAAGGATTATTATATGAAGACAAGGGAAATACCCAAATTTTTGGGTGCTTGTGATCTTGGCTAGAGTTGGATCTCCTATGGATAGGCGTTCCACTACGAGGCTATTGTGTTTTCATTGGAGGAAATATCATTTCATGGAAAAGCAAAAAGCAAAACGTTGTTGCTCGATCCTCTGTTGAAAGTTGAATATAGGGCAATGGCGTCTCTTACTTGTGAACTTGTTTGGGTAAAACAATTCTTGCAAGAATTGAACTTACGTGAGATTCAATCTATGAAGATGTATTGTGATAATCAAGTTGCTCTTCACATTGCTTCCAACCCGAGTATTTCATGAGAGGACTAAGCATATTGAGATTGATTGTCATTTTATTCGGGAGAAATTGTTGACTAAAGAAATTTGTGCTGAGTTTGTTGGTTCCAATGAGCGACTTGCGAGATGCATTAACAAAATCTTTGAGAGGACCTCGAATGGAATTCATTTGTTCCAAGCTTGGTACATTCAATTTGTATGCTCCGGCTTGAGGGGAGTGTTGAAGTATTTATTAGATTAAATGTATCTTGTTGGACATTTATGAGATTAGTTGTAGATCTAGTTCCTAGAATGCATCTGTTTATCTTCTCTAGGATTAATCATGTCTCTCTATTAATTGTATCTACGAATCTGTATTTTTATCTCCTATAAATAAGAGAACACAAGAAGATGATTTCGAGGCTCTCAAAATCAGTTCTTTATTTTCTT